CACACCGCCCACTAACAATCTAACTTTTTCACCTCGGGAAGTGCGAAAGTTATGCGAATGGACTGCATAACTGTCGCATATCAATTGCATAACTGGCATATTCATCGCGCAATGCCTTCGCACTTTAACTTTTTCCACCACAGAAAGTGCGAGGATATGCGAATGCCTTCGCACTTTAAACTTTCGCACAATGTCATCGCGCAACTGTCGCATATCCATCGCACAATGCCTTTCGCACTTTCTGAGGTGAAAAAGTTAACTTATCTACAGTGCGGTGTGAAAAACTTAATACATATCCATAGTGAGGTGAAAAAGACTATTTTCACATAGAATATACTGGAATATAAGCCTGCACATGGGTTAGGACACATGTCATAATGGTATTGCGCAAGCCCAACTAGGCACTAAGGTACACTTCCGTTGTAAAGGAGGCTTAAAGTATACCAAAAACAGATTCTCTCTACATTTACTACTATACTCTCATATTGCACTTTATCTCTGACAAGTACTGACTTAAGCATCAGAAGCTCGATGCCCAGATCCCTCCCGACGTTGAGTTCTTGCAGGTTCGGTGGCCGTTTGAGTTAAAAGAGCCCGAGTGAAATGCATAATAAAAGTTTTTAGAGAACTTCGCCGGTGATTCGTCCATTGTATATTAATACAATGGAAACCTAAAGTAGGTAGATCGGATCGAGTGCTTCAATTTGATATACGCCAAAAAGTGAAGATTAAACAAAATTAACAATTAAAAATTATTGTACAAAAATGAAATCCAAAAAAAGAATTATGGACAAAATGGACAAATGACTACAAGTTACTGTTCCAATTTACAATACAAATCAATTAGCGTATAAATATAGGAAATTAACAACTGAAATATTAATACACAAAAGTTACATTATTTTCGATTGATAATAATTGATCATTGCTTAAATTGCAAAATGCAATATATGCAAATCAAGAATTTAAGAGTGATTGGGATAGATAAGGTGGTGGGGATACGTACTCGATCGGAATAATTCGTTTTTCAGTAGGATCCAAGCGAATGCAGCCAAAAGCAGTTAAATATTAGATCATATATTATTCACCCGTATACTTTATTATTATATATAATAAAAATAATTTTCCAAGCACATTTGTTAGCTACGAATATTATAAGGTAGAGACAGACACGAATTCGTTTTTTTATTTTTTTATTTTTTTATTTTTTTTTTTATTTTTTNATAAAATACATAACATAAGAATATGTTTAATAATTCATTAAAATATTTCAGTTCCAAAATCATATTGTATAATATTACACATGAAATTATAAAACCTAGTTAGCCAAAAAACTTATTTTTGGTTATTTAACAGTCTGAAATTGATACGTTAATTTGCTTTCGCATATAATATAGTTGGTTAAGTTGTAAATTTTTTTAATTTTGGCAAATTAATCCCACCCGTTGAGATTAGTTGCTAACATGGTGTGATAAAATTTGTGTGTTGCCTACATGTCATCTTACATGACAAGTAAGACGTAGCAATTTTGGTTCTCCTTTTTTCAATTTATGTCCATTAATGTGTTCTCGGCTTCAATTTTAGTACATTAAGTTCCACCTTTTCTCAATTTTTATTCACTCATTTTATAAATAAAATTGTAATCAAACTGTCAATGATGATAAATTATGTTTGGAACAAAATGACAATATACAAGCTATATACTAGTTTTGAATAAAATGACCATATACAATTAGTTCCATTTTTCAAATCAAACACATGCAATACTTACTCTCCAGCAAAATTAATTAAAGAATAGATTCTATATAAATATAAATAATACCAGTGGGCATAAAAAAATGAAAGATCTATTGAAATATAACAACTTAGGTCTGTCACGTAATTAACTAGTCTTCGGCCTGATTCTATATATATTTGATTATGCATATAAAATATTTAGGTATATATGTGAAAAATCACGTATGTGTTCGCGGTAGATTATTGGATTTCATATTATATATACTACTTTTTATTTTTCTTTGACCGAAGAGAT